AATGTGACTTGATGATTTATCAATAATATCAATTATTTCATTACTCCAGACGATTATTTTAGCAATACGTAACCGGAACGAACGGTATGTCCTTGTCATCAGGAGATCTTTCTTCGTTATTTTTAATATTGTCTGTTGTTTTACCCGAAATTGGTGTGAATATGCCTGGTAATTTTTCATCATTTTTAGAGTTACTTGTTTCAGGAGTTTTGGATGTTGGGTTTAATGGTCGTTTTATTTTTTTTAATAAACCATGTTCCTTATCATCTTTGCTGCCGTTGTCATGTGGTATTCCTTTTAATGACTCTAATGAAGTTGGAATTGAATTAGAATTTTTTTCCTCTGAATTGTTATCTAAACTTGAATTCATTGCATTCATTAATGATTCGATTTCGTCAGTTTTTGGTAAGTTCTTGTCATTTTGTGTGGTTTTTTTTGTTGAATATATTGGTACGTCAGTTGATTTTGTTCTTGGATTGTCTGAGTTCTGAATCAATGGTAAATTATTATCTCTTGGAGATTCTTTTTCCTTATTTTTATTTATTTCTGTTGGGTTATGTATGTATACATTTTTATTATTTTCCGGTATTTTTTTGTTATTATTTGTCTGCTTTCCTTCCAATTTTCTTGATTTTGGTTGAAATATGTGTTTTTTTATAGATTTTATAATATTGTCTTGTTTATTTTCTTGCATTTCGCTGTAATTTGGAATTTTTAGTTTTGATTTCGATGATGATTGAGATGAATTAGAATTATGATCATCTGTTCCTTCATCAGAATTCGAATTCATTGTATTTATTATTGTTTCAATTTCGTCATTGACAGGTATATTTTTGGAGATTTTTTCGCTTTTTTCTGTAGTAGACACTGGTTTATCATATGAGGTTGATAATATAGCCATTGAATCTGGTAAGTTGGACGGTATATTATTCCTATTTGATTTTTTTTCGTTAATATCATTTTCTGTCTTCGCTGGTTCATCGTTTGATATTTTTTTTATATAATTTATTTTTTGTGGCCTTTCTTCAATATTTTTTATTTTTGATTCTTCTTTTTCATTATTATTTTCTCCGAAATTTTCACCGAATGGTTGTGCATGGTTTGGTCCCCTTATTTTGTTTTTAAATGTTTTTGCTGGCGGTTTTCTATTTTTTAATATATCCTTAAATTTATTAGTATTAAAATTTTTCAAATTTGATAACTTCATATTTTCATTAATATTTTCAATACTAATACTATTTTCGTCTTCCTCTAGACTGTCAATTAAACTAACTTTTTCTTCGAAACTGTTATGTCCTATTAACTGATTTTTATTAATATTCTTCTTTTTAAGGTTTTGTTTGTTTTCTACATTTTTATTTTGTGTGTCAAATTCTTGGCTTTGGATGTTTGTGTTTTTTTCAGTTTTTAATTCGTCTTTCTTATTTGCATTTTCCTTTAAATCATGTTGTTTAATATTTTTTGCTTTTAATTTATTATCTTGAAATTCTAATTTATTATTGTAATCTCTTTTTTGCCGTATTAATTGGTTATCATTTAACTGAAACATATTTAAAATGAACTTTGATATAATATTTCTAAATATTTAATTTTAATTTTTTGTATTATTGTGTAATGTTTATTTATTTTTTCATCTGATATTTTGTATTCGATTTTTAAAACTTTTTAATTTAAAAATATAATACTATTTATACCAGGTTAATTTACTTATAATTACATTCAATAAATGAATTCAACTGGATGTTTTCGAATTATATGCGGTTTTTTTTTTTGTGACAGAGCTGATTTCCTTGAAATGATAATAGTGATACATTTAACACTTAGAAACCAACAATTTTAAATTTAAAAAATACTAGTAAATATATATATGTATAATATATTCAATGAATAATTGTATTTCTGTTTGAAAAAATTAAAAATTAAATATTAAAATTTTGTATAAAAGATTTAATTGGATTAATACAATTTTAAATTAAAATAATCATAAGTTGGTACAATTAATAATTGTGTTTCATACGTCTAAAAAAATATTCTGGACGCCAACTATTATATATTATTTTACAGAGATTTGTATTCATATTTATCAAATTATAATCATATTTAATGTTTATAATATAGTATTCTAGTTCAATTATTGAAAAAAAAAACCTATACTTATATAACTGTAAATCATATTTACTAGCTGGTAGCTATGTAATATTTTCTATACAACATGTGTAATTTCTTAAAAATTGGTAGATTGAAGAAGCTTTTATACTCGCATTTTGGATCAGTCATGAAAAATATGTTCATGTATTCGGTCATTTCGCAAAAAAACCACTTAGGCAATTTAGTTATGACCAAAATTGCACTTTTTTTTGTACACAATTCTAATGCAGCCATTAAAATAATAAACTATTTAAAATATAAATATGTATTTGGATGCAGAGTAGGGCGTTATTCGAATGAAATTTTATGTAGATGATTATTTAGATAACATTTAATTGGAATAACTTTAAAACATTATTATTCGATTGATTTAAACTATGGTTATTTAAATAAAAAATTATTCGACTAAATTTCATATAAAGTTACTCAAATAATTTTTAGTTATTTTATTTGAATAAACATTGTTGATAATAAAAAAAAACACATATTAATACAATAACAAGCATTGTATTTTAAGTTACACGATTGCAAATCGTATTTTATTCGGAATAAATCCAAAAATATTATAAATAATAAAATACCGCTGAACGTTTGGACACATTGACCCAAAAGCCAACATGTTTGGGTACAAATAGACACAACATTTAGACACATAAAATAAAAGATATTTTATAATTTTACCTGGCAAATCAGAGAACGTTTGGGTACACAATACACATATTATACAAAACACATTTGGGTACACTTTATAAACACGTGATCTACAATAGTGATATACTTTATTTCCAAACCAATTAATATCAATTACTTATATTTTGATTAGGTATTCTATGAGTATTATCGTAATATATGCGACTACGAACTTATACGTAATATATATACTTTTTATCATGTATAAAATAAAATAATAAACATTTTTGGGAGACTATTAAGAGCCAACCTCCTCGCGGTGTCTCCTGGGTAACTCTAATAAGTTCTAAAAATAAAGTGTAAAAGTATAAAGTAAAAAATTTGCACCTAAACGTTGGTAAGTAGTTAAAAGTAGTATTATTTTAAAAATATTTTGTTACTCAAACGTTATATTGATTTTTGGGGCCTGAAAAAAAGTGTACCTGAATGTGTGTTCCCAATCGTTCTACCAAATCTCAGGTGAAAATATCGATTTGTGTTCAAACATGTAACGGCCTAAAAATATATATATATATACCAATAGATGAAATAAATGATTAGATATGTCTTTTTTTAATCATATTTTTATCATAATAATAGTTTAACAATATTATAATATGAATAATATTTAATAATTAATAACAATATTTCGTAATAATTACATCAATAATAAAATAGTATTAAACTATTAAATAACAATAATGAATAATTATAAAAAAATATATTTAATTATAAATTTGTTTACTCAAATAAAATAACCGAAAATTATTCGAATTACCTTCTTTGAAATTTAGTCGAATAATATTTTATTTGAATAACCATAATTAAAAATCATTCGAATAATTATCTAGATAAAATTTTGTACAATTCTGTTTGGGTGATATTAATTTTTTATATCTAATAAATTTAAAATAAATCTTACATTGTTTATTGATGATGTGTTAACATTCTCGTTCATTACAATTTTTCGTTCATCGTGCCATATTAAAATCCTCTTCTGTTCATCTTCATGATTTCTATATTCTGGTAAATTACCCTTACCAAAATGTCTAATTACTTATTAACTAATGTTATACTATTCTAAGTTAGAATGCAGACTTTAAAAATATTTAAATATAAAAAACGCAATTTTTTTATATTAAATTTAAATTTTCTATTTTAGTATGTAAAATAATATTAGTTTACTTACCACTAAATCACCCATTCTAACTATTTTGTACCATCTGGATCTTCCATTAGGTTTAATATTATTTCTTTTTCCTTTTTTATTATTATAGTGTTTCTTGCCGCTACTTTTATTTTGGTTATGAAAATCATCTTTATCATCATTTGTTATATTTGAATGGTTTGTATCATCATTTGATGTACTTGGATCATTTTCATCATTCTAAATTATTACAATGAAGTATTTATCAACAAAAACCTTCTTAAGGTTTTTAGAAAACAAACAAATTGTGTTATATTAATAATTTGGACAGTATCAAAGTATTATGTTTTAATAGATTATTTCAAAAATGTATTTATTTATTTTAATTTTATAATACAGTTTTAAAAACGCAGTATAGATAAATAATCATTTAAAATAAAAACTTTATGATTTTGAATGTTGATCATATAATGGTATTATTAATACACAATATATGCAGTTGTCTGGAGTAAGTTTAGTAATATTTTATAAGATGTAGATTATGCTCAAGTACTTTTTTATAAATTATGAATTTCAATCACAATGAGAGAAAATCTAGTTAAAATTTAAAGGATGAAGAAAATACAACTAGTCAATAATAATCATATTATTAGAATAATTACAAAATAATAAAGTTTTGTTTTGTTAAATTATCTTACTTTATTGTTTGAATCTACATCTGTGTTCTGGTCCTGTATATTTAAAAATAAACAATCTAAGGTTTATTCTATATAATGGTAGGTAATCGCAAAATTTTCTAGTAAAATCACTTACCTTTTTTTTCGAATCTGGTTCCTAAATAACATAATATTAAAGTTGAAATTACAGAAAAAATATTTATTAATAAAAATCAAAATATTTACTTTACTTTTAATGTCCATCTTGGGTTAATAATTTGGTCTGCAATATTACCAAATTTCTGTAAAAGTGATAACATTTTTAATTTATTTCATATTGTATTATAATTTATTGAGTAATGGGTTATACCTATATACTGTCGAAATACTTTTCTATGTTGAAAATCTACTCTTTTGTTCCAAATTTACCTCTGTTGTACAGTGATATTTTTATTTTTAACATTATATAGCTAAAATCACTAAAATTTGAACCTTTTTACAAAATTTTCAACTTTTTTCGTGATTTATAGAATATAGTTAATATTTCAATTATCTAAAATTAAAAAATATTTGTTCTTTGTATCAGTAGTATTTCTATACTTATTTAAATATGTTTTAAATCAGAGAATATTCATAGAAATCATTTAAATTTTTTTATTAACTATTTTGAACTATTTAAAATCGTATAAAATTTAACATTTATAACTAGAGCTCGGAAGTTGATGCATTTTGCATTTTTTTTTTTGGAACTTTTTAGACGATGCTCTCCTGGCCACAAATCTGTTTCAAAAGCATGTGAATCTAAATAACTAATTTTTATTTTGCATTTTTTTGCATTTTTGGTGTTTATTACTTTTTAAATCATTTTTTGAGATTTTTAGGTCATTTTCCCACATTTTTAGTTATTTTTACTGATTTCACACTAGTTCATTTCTTATCGTTTCTTGTTGACCATTATGCCGATAACTTAAACCACAGACATTTATAAAAAAAATATTTTTAATTTTTTAATTTTCCTATTTTAAGGACATTTTTGTCATTTTTATGTCATATTTTGAATTTTATAGTAAAATAGAGTAAAATATTTAAAAAAAATGTATTTTTATTAATATAAAACTAATATTTGTAATTTTTTTAGGACATTTTTTGCCATTTTTATGGTCATTTTATATTGTTTTTAAGGTCTTCAACTTCCGAGCCCTAATTATAACAATTAAGAAAAAATGTAATATCGTGTGATATAAATTACCGATTTCAAATTGGTTGTTTGTATCACTTTCCAAAATATAAGAACAAAAACAATATTAAAATTTATGTAATTATAATAAGTTAATAACCAATATAATTATCATAGTTTCAAAAAAACAACACAGTACATACTACATGTTATAAGTGGTGTAGAATGAAAATACAAAATTTGTTTTAGATAATAATAAATAAGTTACGCATTAAACTACTTAATTCCACAATATAGTAAGTCTTTATTTAACGTCACCTCATTTAGTGATGCGTCACAAAAATTTAAGCCCTTGTGTTTTGTTGAACACTACAACGGTTTCAATATAACGTTGTTTGTAATACACGTGTTAAACAAATTTTTGTTATATACTTATCTGTATTTATATACATCTTTTCTAAGTAATTTAATTTCGTCGATTTTTTTCATATAACACTGTTATTATTTTTAATGATATCATTACCATACGCAATATTATTTTAATTTATTTTAAGTTATATATACTTCATAATCGTTTTTCATTTTTTACAAAAAAATTTTTAAATAATTACGTAAATCTAATTATAAGATCGTATCTGGTCTGTGGGGGTGGAGTCCATGCCCCTCGAAATTTCTTCAATATTTAATAAAAGTTTAAAATTGATTGATAATATTAACATTAATATTTTTAGATATAAATGGTTAAGACTCAAGTTAAATTGATTATTAACTGTATTGTATCTTATGAAAATATTATTATTGCGTCTAATAATAGTTTGTTATCGAACGACTGTAAAGGCGTCAAACACTATTGATGTCGATCGGTGGTTGGCGACAATTAACAGTAATATTAAATTTGTTTAAAATACAAATATTTTAATAAAATATCGTCGTCCGCAAGACTGTGATAAATATATAAAATCTTTTTTGTTTTATTTTTAACCAAATGCAAAAATCTAAATTTAGTATTGACTAAATTACAATATAAATATTTTAGAATCCTCTGAAAAAAATTTCTGGATACAGCCTTGACTAGCATCTAGCATCTACTCTTAAGACCTGAGATTTTTATTTTCTTCATAGATCTTTAATATATTTTATTAATTATGTCATAAAACTATCAAAAATCACATACATATATCAATTTTTGCCGTGGTTTAGGTAGTATCTACCATATAAGTAATAGAATAGAAACAATTTTGAGAATAGTTTAAATTATACAGATTAAACAGGTTCAAACTCGTATTTAAAGCCAATTATACGATTTTACAGTTTTAAATCTTTTGTATTTAATATATATATATATATATGTATCCACCAAGTACCAACTAATGTTATAGGTATGTCATAAATAATAAAATTTGAGTTTATTGTGAAGCTATGTGACTCCATAATTCATAATCTAAGACTGGCATTTATATTGATCAGTTCGGTTGTAATTAACAATAGTGATTATATAATTGATATATATATTATTCTTTATCTTTATTTTGAAAATATATCTTATGTAATAATATTAGGTAAATACTCACAGAACGTTTCACCGGGGCTGTGGACACCTGCACAATAAAACACATACATTATATATATATTATATATATATGTATATAGGTAATAGCTAATATTATAAAAGATTGACATTTTCTACTTATCTATAGATATTTTGAATCTTACAATAAAAAAAAAGTTCGGTTACAGAAAATGTATTGGATTATTCTGATTAAAATTACTTAAATAGAAAATATGTGACACATACAAATTTACTTTTTACTACTCGTATAAATTCTATTGTGAATGCAGGTAAGTAATATTATTAATGGCGTTAAAGTTTTAAAAACTTCGACAATTTAAACAAACCAACCATTTGGGTACTGAAAATAGTCTTCAAAAGAGTAACGCTATTGATGTTATGCCATTTATACAATTACATACGGTAATACTTGTTGATAAAATTCCAGACAAGACAAAACAAATTATTATTTGTTAATAATAAATTTAAACATAACTGAAAAAGCAAAAAATATAAGTGGTTTTAAAACAAATTAACTGAAATTAGTTTGGTTATGACTTATGAATAATATAAATATATATTTTAAATTATGATTTTATACTACTTTTTTTAAATTTTTTATATTTATATTTATTGTTTCTGAGCATAAAATGTTCTACGAAAGTAGATTAATGTCCATTAGTAGTAGGGTGAATATTTATGAGGAGCGAAGAACGTCTTGATAATGTTAATACTTACGTGATTCAGATATATTATATTTATCAATATAAAGGTGATCCATATCCGCATTTTTTCGTTTATCGTTGGTTATATTTAAAAATTAAAACCATGTTACAGTTCGTCTATAGTAATAAGACTTACAGCATACAGAAACGCAACGACGATAGTTCGTTGTTTAAACAATTGGTTGCTTCAAGACTTGACAGTGATTTGATGTCACAGTATGCATACCTACGCGATATCTACTCCTAATGAACTATAAACGTCAACATTAAAAATATGTTTAAAAAAACAACAATGTATTTAATAGGTAGATTTCCGTGTATATAATCTAAAATGATTACCTACATGTGCTATTGTAAAACATTTTGGTAAATATGGGATAATATTATGTGTAAGTATACATGTTATATAGGGTGATTATAAAAATCGCTGTAAACAACTATGTTTTGTATAATATGTAGGACATGTAGTATTATGTTGTTTTTGTGTAAAATTTAAAGTGCATACGAATCTAACAATTTTATATCGCCCTCCTAAGTTTGTCGACAAAAACATTATTAAATAAAATTTCAGTTTTTTTTTTTTAATATTACCTACCTAAAAGTTTTATTTCATGTTCATAATTAAAATTAGAACACTTTTCTAAAAAATTCGATTTAAGTATTTAGGTACTACTGTCATTATTAAGTAGTAGATATTTAGATTAGTAAAGTGAGTAGATATTAAATGGTGTTATATTAATTTAAAATATTGAATGAAACTTTTTTTTTATTACTAAAAATTAATTATAGTGTAGATAATTAGAAAGTACCTACCACAAATTTAGTTATTTCAAAAAGTATGTACCTTTTAGAACTCCACACATTTTATTTACAACATAAATCATCTTAAAAAAAATATATGTACTACTCCAATATTTACACCAATAGATTAAACAAATTGCAAAGTTTTTTTAACACTATTATATCTAACACTTCATAAAGTACCTACCAATATTTATAAAGATTTCCAATAGAAAGATTATAAGGATGTTATAAAATTAATGAAATAGTAAGAATATATTTTGTTTTTTCTCGAAAAAAAATTTCCAGGACAGTGAATAGTTATATTTATCGAAATAGAATAGTATTTTATCTTAAAATACTTATAACTCGCTTCAAAATTAAAATATAGTAAAAAGCCCACGAGGTCATCTAAATAATATTTTTACTTTTAAATTTTATAAGAGGTCAATTCACTTTAATTTTTAATCTAACGAAGCAAAACGTGATCTGCTGATGAGCGTAAAATTTGCCATGTTACGCATTTGTAAGACGGAGACAACACATGCGGGTATCACGTCCTCTTAATCGAATCATTCTGTATACCTACTATATATATTTATATATGGGATATCCGCGTATGCAATATTATTATTGCAAATATATAAGTATACCAGTTTGTAATCAGAAACATAAATAGATAAAAAATGCATCTCGTCAAATGATACTAAATAATTGTCAATAACAAAACCAAACTTTGTAATTAAATAGGTAAGTCCCTACTTAGTCATGTTGCATAATATGGCTGGTTGGTTATATTATCAACGAGTAAATAATATTATATCGAATACAGTAGGTAGATAAACTATGTAGGTCTGGTAACATGAGAGGTTCTCAAACGTAATACTGGAATAGATCAATGTTAAAACGTAAGGCCTTCATTTAAAAATCAACGTTTTACCAATAAGTTATCTATACTCAACTGTAACTACATGTTTAAATTATATATACAAAAATATATATATACATAAATTGTTATAGTATGAATCGGTGCCAAAGCTGGGCAAGTTAACCAATTTTTTAACTAGTTAAAAGTTGTTATACTAAAAAAATCTAAGTTAAAGTTAATTATAGAATATTAATTAATTTGAGTAACTAAGTTTAGCAATTAAGCTACACATTTTTATGAAAATATTAACTTAGATTAGTTTCAACTTTAAAATTAAGCTTTTCTATTTAATGTCTTTAACTTTATTCGTTAAAATTTTTATCATTGAAAGGAAAATATTAAATAACTGATTTATATTGTATGTATATAATATATTATTACTATTTCTTATTAACATACACGTTTCACTTTAATAATTTAGGTGACCACTACGATAATAATATTTTCGTAGCAATTTTTTTTTTAACTAGTCAAGCTAAAAGTTATCAATAAAAGTAACTTTCAACTTTTATCAGCTATTACCCAGTTTTTTGATATATACTTCCACTATTATATAATATTGCTTAGAAACATTTTTTAATGTTGCAATACCTGTATTAATAAAAATTATAATCAGAAATTTGGATATAATGCCCACATCAAACTATAGTAAAATTAAACGTATAGTTATTTGATTTGTGAGTTGTGACGCAATTTATGCGGTAAATGCAAATATAGGTACGAGGTACCTATACAAATATGTGATTATTGTATAATTACACGTCGATGATACTAAGTGAGGTAAACTTGATAAACGACGACTTGCTATTGTGTCCTATTATTGAAATAATATTTAACACTAAACCTTAAACTTAGGTACCCATTAAATAATGCGTAGGTACTGTTATTATATATTATTAGGTGTCTACCGATATACAAAAAATAATCGTGTGGGTGTGGGGTTTAGGAACTATGACATTCAACATTGTGAAAGAAATAATAAGTAGTACTTAACGTTTTGTCAAGATTTATTTCTATTACTTAGTATTTACAGTTTACACATAAATTATACCAAGAACTGTTTATTAAAGATGTGAGTTTGGGTCAGTGAACTATTATAATTTATAATATTTAGGTGAAGTTCACTAGAGTGTAGAGCAATCGCTTTGACACTTTTTTTTGCTTCTGATTTTTCATTCCTCAGACTAAATTGACTGGACACTGGGAAGTCACATCGAGTTATAACTTACAAAGGATGTATTTGAAGTGAGATGGCCGATGTCCTTTCATGGAAGTTAGGAAGATGAAGTAAAATCCAGATTAAACATGATTATCGAAAAAATTAAAAATGTGCTATTTAGGTATCTGTAACTAAGTCAGAATTTGAACGGGATTAGTTGTATTCTGCTAGATGAGTAGTTCATAGTAGCTAAGATTTTCAAATTTTTTAAGATTCTTCATGATTATTACCAGAACAACGTTAGGTAGGTGCACACGTCAACGAGCGTTGTATTTTTGTCACAGGACACAGATGCGGTCAGGATTCGTGTGTCGTGATAAGCTATGGTTGGTTTCATAGTGCGCGGTGCGCGGGATGGGCATGTACCGTTTCCTCAACTTAAAAAAAGATTCGATTCCCCGTTTCCGCCAATCTACCTACTATGGTAAAATTATTTTAATATATTCTATATTAATTGAAGTATTATTCATTATTCCTATTAAATAAAAATACATAATATTTTGTAATATCTAGTTTTAATATAAATATAATAATTAAAATAATTAAAGTCGTAATATTTTATTAATTTTGTCTGGATATTTTCAATCAAAATTTTTAAAAATATATTTTATATTTGGGTGTGATTTATAAAACTGTTGGTTAAAGTGTGGATGAAATGATTCACAATTGTTTCTAGTTAGACTTAAAGTTACTGTAATACATGTCCACAGGGTAAAATATTCCATATTTTTAGTAAAAATAAAAAAAATTCCTCCAAAAATATGGGCATGTATGACAGAAAGTTTAAATCGAACTACAAACAATTGTGAATCATTTTATTCACACTTTAACCAACAGTTTTATAAATCACACCCAAATATAAGTATATTTTTAAAAATTTTGGTTGAAAATGTCCAGACGGACACTTACATTAAAATACATCTACTTTCTAAAACTGTGCTAGGACTAGTAAAGCTATAACTGATTTTAAAAATAAACTAATATCGCGTTATTCGTAAATGAAGTATGTTGCATTTAATTATGCTAAATAAATTACTACAAAATATGACCCATGTATTTTTTATTTGAGTATAATATATTTATCAATATGCAGTGTTTTATGTTATCATATTATAAAAAGATCATATTTAATTATCTCAAGTAAAAATTTAAATATAACTTAAAAATAATAGGAATAATACACCAATTAATATGGAATATAATATTACAATAATTTTATCATAGCAGGTAGATGGCGGAAACGGGTGATGTCGGAATTGGTCGTTTCACATTTTGTCGGGAACGGGTAATTCTCGTGCGATATATATTGAGAATGACTCTTAGTCTTCATAACAATTGGATGACTTGTGTAATTTATGTTTTTTATTTATTTAATTTTTTGATTAGAATATGTTGATATTGTTGATAGGTATAAATAGTTTTACTTCAACCAGATCTTTAAAAGGCACAGTATAATATAAAAAATAAAAATCTATGGTACTATGGTAGGTATACTCAGATAATGTGGTAAATAACTTACTTTTTTCAAGTCGGTACCTATTCAACTAATGTGATTACTAATTATTTTTCGTGTTTTGTTTTCCAATCGAAAATTCAATTTTTCTTCTTACTTCAAGTATGTTCAGGTTTAAATGCATAATAGTATAGTCATACATTATACATCAGTATCGGGTAGGTTTGTATTATGACAATCATCGAACATCGACATGAAATGGTGAAATAATTAACAGACAAGGATTTTGTAATTTTAAAAGATACCTACTCATGCTCAGTGATGTAACTTTAAAATGTGTGCCCGGCAAACATTTTATCGGGACCCGCACTCCACGCGGAAACATAATATACCTATTAATGTCATTCATTGTGGGTAGTTATTATCAATTTTGAAAAATTTCGTTCCACACTGCCAGCTAAAGCATTATAGATAATAATTTGATGCAGTTTTATTATAATTTGTTAATCAAACTAATATTATTATTTTTTTAACAACGGCCTCCCTGAGCGTCTGAGTCTGGGCGCCAACTGCACGTTCTGATCGCTCCAGTTAAACGCCTCTGTTCATATCGTATGTTATAGATTAAAATATTATTTACTACGGTGTTACCTATTTAATCCGCGAATATATTAATGATTAAATACAATAATTAGGTACAATTAAATCATTTAAATCTTTAAAATGTATGGGAAAAAATGTTATTTTAACAAGTTACCACTGAAAAGTAATTTTGTTACAGTAACTTGTAACTTAAGAGCTAAGGTTATATGTTTTAATTTTATTTCATATATTATATGTACAGTAGGTACCTGTTATAAAAAAACAATCATAAATTTTTGCTTGCGTTTAAAATAAACATGTGACATGTATAATGTTGGTGTACAGAAAAAAATTCTTTATTAGTTTATTCAATACTTATTTTAAGAGTTCAAAATTATTTGAATAAGTACCTAATAAGTAATAATGGGAATAACACGTTTATGGCGTTTGGCGCAGTATGAACATTGTACCTGAAAATCGATAACGATTTCGGGTACAAAACTGTAACTGATAATTTACTTATTTAATTACTTAATAGTCTGACCTATTAACCATGTTTTAATTAATGGAAATTAGTGCATCAGTTTATAAATATTTATTTGCTAGACCCTATTACAGACATATAATTTACATTTATTATTTGAGCTTAGGAGCAACTTTTATACTCAAAAACTATTAATGACGCAGAATCTTTCCATTCAAATTATCAGTGTATTGATGGAAATTCAAGCAGACCAATTTAACAAAAAACAGCATTAAAAGAAAAATAATTAATTAATTATTAATAATAATCTTTCGGCTTTCAATATTTTTAAAAGATAGCTTATCTTCTTGTAATGTCTCTGAATATGAGGAAAGAAATGTATCGAAATTTACTATTAAAAATTACAACATTAAGCCTAAACATGTTGTCACTGTAACAATAATTATTTGAAAATCTGTAGGTCAAGTGCCTAATAAATCGGTAGAATTCTGTGTTCATAAAATTATATATCACAGTATTATAGTATACAAATTAACTACAATTGATGCATTATTGATAATTATATTATGGCATCAATAATACGGTTAATAGTTTACGATTATCACAACAATTTCAAGTCCTTAAAACAATGACCAGCACTATATAATGCTGACTACCAAGTAATGGAAATTGATTTGTCCAATAAGTAAAAACAATCATTTTAAATATTTTATACATAAATAGTTAATTTTTTCTTTATTGAATATTATAGTCACAAAAAATATAAATATTAAGCTGAATAATTTTTTTGCTATTAATGCTTCACAAATAAAGTGGTGTAAATTTATTTTTTATAAAAGTACATTTGTTAAAATTACTTACATAGGTGAATCATTTACACACACATTTCTGTGTAAGCATCAATAAATTCTGTTGAGTAAATATTTAACATTGCTGAATATCAATAAAAATTCCCCGAAAAAATTATTAAAAAATAGTATTTTAAGAGTAAAAAAAAATATTTACCTATTTGTTTATATATTACACAACTTTATTGCAATGATGAGTTAAGAGTAAATAAAATGTTTTGATCTGTGATAAGTTCTAAAATAATCTTAAATATCAATAAAATTAATTGCAATTTATAAGCCTCTATACCCAATAGCAATTCATAATAGCTTTTAATCAAATATTCGTTCAAATGGATTTTAGGATGTTTTAGAAATTTATCTAACAACATTTATAGGAAAATAAGCAAAAAATTAAGTAGCGTAAGTAATTCAAGATTAATTAAAAAAAACACATCAATTAATTAAATGAACACTATTTTAGTCTTAAAGAAATTATTTATCTATTATTATTATTTATTTTTTTGATTTTATTAATGATTCATTAAATTACAAAAATATGTAAAGCATATTTAATAAATTTAGTGCAAAGATAAAAACACGACTAATTAAAAAAAAAAAAAAAATGATAATAATAAACTGTAAACAATATTTTTATAAAGAGAAATTTTAATATTTACTATTATACAGTTCTAACTAAAAAAAAAAAAAAAAAAGTAAAATACATTTCATAAGATAATTATAATCTTAAATCAAAAATATTATAGTAGATAGGTTTTCAGGTTAAGTCGTCTGTATTTGATCCATGCAAATATAACACAACATCCAAAACGGTTGCTTAAGAAGCTTTGATACAATTTTACTGACTGTAAAAAAAAGTTTGTTTTTTGAAGAATATAATTTTAAAGACATTAAATATAACTTATAATAATAACCATTTATTATGTTATACCCACATAATATTCTTCTTATCGACTGCGAGATCTTGAGTTGGAAATTGAACGACCAGTTAATACAGACCTTGAACGGGAACGTGAAAGAGATCTTGAACCTGAACGAGAACGACGACTACGGCTGTATGATCGTGACCGAGACCGAGAAGGAGTATACGACCTTTATATATAATACAAAATAATTAGCTACATAATAAACAAATATATTAAGGCGTATTTAAGTTCCCAAAGTATTTATATTCAATATTCTAAGTATATGAGAATATTATGGAAAATAGAACATTTTATATAACTAGAAAAAAAAGTGAAAATGTTGTGATTTTATTAATTAGTTTAAATAATTCAATAGTATTAAATAACAAATTTTCCAGAAATTTGGTATGATAAATTCAATTGTGAAACAATATTTTTCACCTTCAAGAATTTAAAATAAGTTTTTTAATTTTAATAAATTATACTTTATTTAAATGTTTTAATCAAATATAATATTTTATAAAATGGTTAGTAAAAAAATAAAAAGTTTAAAGTTAATATGTATACAATATAATTAGTATTATAACATTTTTAATTATGATTTAATATTAATTATATAATTTATAATTATTAACATCAAATACATTTCATAAATATTCTTTTTTTGAATCTTAAAACCATTATTAAATACTATGTTTATACAAATAAAATCATTTTTTATACATGTTTTCAATTGAAATATTATACTCATCAGTTTCAAAACAATAAAAATATTATATTAATAGTAGAATGTATAAATTGAAAATTTATCGATGTTAAAATTAATTTACTACTTAAAATAAAAACATGTATTTAATTGTAATATATTTACTTTTTTGAAATACTATGATATATTGTTATTAAATGTATGAAGAGTCTTGCTATGGTTATATTATTGTTTATGAAAAATAAAATTGAATAAAAACAATAAAATATACATTTACGATAAACAAGGTTAAATCATAAACATATAAAAATCAATTTTAATTGGTTTAGATAATGATTTTTAATGACATTATTACACAAATGAATTGTCATTTTTATTGCATAGATTAAAAACTGTTAATTATAAATTAAGTAAAAAGATAGAATTATTATATTTTTTAGAACTACAACACATCTCATGAATATTTATTTTGAATTTAATAACCAAGGACACACTTAGTTGAATTATTTGTTTGTTAAAATTTAATCATAAAACAAAATTTATAATATCTATTTATGTTATTAAACTATCAGGTATTAATATTTAAAAATAATGCAATTATATAGTTTGTAGTTAGTAATATATAAAAAATATTTGATAATATTAAAAAAAGAAATTCTATTTTAAACTAATTATAGTACTATTTTATTAAAGGGTTTTAATGTTCAATTATACTTAATTAAGCACACTGGCATGTATTCTTTTAAAGTATAAATGCAATGGTTAATGACCATAATATTAAATATTTTTACATGAGATTTATATTAGAAGTATTTTATTGATTTTATGTTTATTATTATTAATTTAAGGAATTCAAAGAATGCAGTATTTAAATAAACAAAGTAAATATAATATTTTATCCCATTGATCAATATAATCCAACCTGCTCATGTGATTTAATTAACTCACATAAAAAAACGAAGTTCAACATTCTCCTAAAATGACATTGTGGTAATGCTATGTAGACAGTCAGTGGCGTTATGCAGATCTAATTTATAACTCTTTCTGTCTCTGAATGTCTGTGTACGTTCACCGATAGCTAATTAATGCATCAGAATAAAAATCATTAGGTTGGTTGGGCTCGATGGGGTTCTAGTGTAGCTGAGTACATCGATAAACGCAGACAGACAGATAGTTGCGCCGTAGTCCGACGACTAACACACATTGCTCGAAGTAGATCAAAATATATTATTTTGGTTGAGAGCTCTACGACGATCGACACTACGAGACGAGACGCTCTCAGCCGAACATCCTACAAAAATGGCCAATTATAGTCATTTTTACAATTCCATTATTTAAATGGTTGTGTCAATAATCTACATTAAATAATTTATCTTAATGTTAACAATCAGTTGAAGACTTCACCACAAAAAAATTAAATAGGTGAAGTCATTGGTAAAATAATTTGAATGAAAAATAAATTTACCGGCGTCGTCCTCCTTTAAAACGTCTACAATCACGAGCATAATGTCCCCTATCACCACATTCATAACATTTGTCTTCAGGATGGAATGGACGTCCTCGACGAGGTGGGCCTCCTCTATAAGCACCTTTACGTGATCCAGCATTAGATAATTCTACTCGCACTCGTCTACCACAAATGCTCCTAAAATAAAAATAAGAAATAACAAAATTTGTCAGAAATAAAAATTATTAATTAATTTTTTTTTTTAATTACCTGCCATCTAAACCTCTAACTGCATCTTCTGCATCTCTTGGATCCTCAAATTCAACAAAAGCAAAACCAGGAGGATTACGGGCAACCCATACATTACGAATTGAACCATAATATGAAAAAGCATCCTCTAAATCTTGTTTGGATGCAGATGATCCTAGATCACCAACATATATTTTGCAATCTGGATTACCAGAATCTCTGTATCTTGATGACGATGACATATTTAAAATATCTGTAACATAAGTCATAATTAAATTAAAAAAGTTATAACAACAGATAAAAATAAAGAGTAAATACAACTATATAGCACATAGAAAGCCAAAAAGAAGTTCAAAATTTAACATAGACATTTGATATGCCTACAACTCTGAATGAAACTGTAATACATATAATTATTAGTTATATCTATCTTATTCAATAAAATCCCATAAAAATATAGATAGTTTCAATGTAAGATAATTCTACATACTATATTTTAAGTAACTTTAAAATAAAAATATATTTCATGAAAAAAAGTCTTTATCAAATTTTTTATCAGTACAGGATTAGGTACTTAATAATAAAACTGCAGCTGAACAATTATCACTTAACACAGGTACTATTATTCTAATTTAGATTATAAAAATGTCTACTTAAATAAAGAATAAATATTAGTATACAGATTATACAGACAAGATTAATAGATTAATAATGAGTAATATTAAACTTTATGGGAATGAATAATGAGTGCACTGGGTACAGTAATTCATGAGTTAATTTTATCTTAATTTAAATAATGGTATATTTTAATATATTACAATCTGAAGAAAATTATCATTTTTCTTATCTGCATTTTACTTTTATGAGCAAATATTATATATTATAATAAGGAAGTAATATTTTTAAAAGGTGCATACTAAACAAATAGAAACCAATTGACTATATTATAATAAGATAAAGAGATTATTGTAGAATATAGTGGGAATCGTCAACAACTATTATTCATTTAAATTTAAATGTTAAAGTGGCAGTGTTTTTGTATTATGAATTAAAATAATTGGTAATATGGACTTACTTATACCACTCCCACAATGTTTTTTTAAACGTCAGATTGGTACCAAACGTAGTGGTATACAACCGATAAAAATTTTGAGATAAATCAGATTTATAGAAAAAAAAAAAATTAAAAATTGTCGGAAACATAATTGAAAAAAATAACGATTTGCTTGAACCAGTGATTGACGATCGGGGCTAGATTTTCGTTAACGGGTGATCATAAAACGAGCAAAAATCGTCGGTGCCATCCGTTAAAAACTCAAGTCCGATCCCGTTGTCACGGCTAGAGATTTACCTTATGCAAATGACCTGTTGTTGATATGTATTAGTTGTTGAGAGGCGTCCTCGAAAAACTAAGCGACAACGTGATGATGGCAGTCTGTTTCAGGTTTTCTTTCGGTATTGTCGTGGAAGAGAGTTTGACGACAGCGGACGCGGATGAACCAGGCGGTGTCTTGAAGAGTGCTGTGTAGTTGCTGTCGCTTACTGGCCTGTGTCAGCACTCAGCATAGAAAATAGATAAGACACTCAGCAATCAGTGAATGCTGTCGCTTCTATCTTTCTTGTGAGTCGGTTTCGATGCTCTGAATGGAACTAATGAAAGTGCCGGCCGCCGGGAGTGTGCTCGACGCTCGTGCTGGTGCCTAATAGGTATTAGGTGGGCGGTGAGGGTGGTCGGCGGTTAACTGGGCATCGTTCGCCATTTTACTGAATAATGCAATAATTATTGTGTCCGAATCACGGGTCCAGTGTGACCACCAAGCTAGACTTTATTGTCGGTGGGTTGGCTATTTGGCGCCGTAATTTCGCCCAAGGTATGTACCAGTTGACGCCGGCGTGACATGTACCTTATACCAATAGACCGCGGATCCCGTGAATTCGAATTGGATGAACGACAGATAGAGGGCGCTGCCGTTCTAGTGATAGTTTAAAACACTATTATAGTAACTATAGACTATAGATCAATATATATAAGTAGATAGGTATTTTACTATTATTAGGGTTAAGGAAGTCTAGTACCTATACTATGCGTACTACTGTAACCGTGTTACCTGCCCAAAAATATAAAACATAATTGCATTTAAATACTTTATCACTCGGAAGATAAAATATATGTTTCTTAGTAAATTTATTCGACGTCCATTATTTGAATTACAAATATTTAATAGGTAATATTCTTATGATATGAAATAAAAAAATAATTTTTTGAATAAAAATGTATTTATTGATTTGTAATTTACATTTACATTGCAATGCAATATACCTTAGAAATAAACTACGCGAGTGCATGCGCACAATAATCTTTTGACAAATTATCGGAATTATCGGCCCGGATGTGATCTCGCAATAGTCAAATTTATTATATTAAATTTTTCATATCCATAATAAATTTACCAAATATGTTTTTATTTGTCCAAAATTACTCGTTAGTTATCACTAAACTTGCAATACCGAAAAATTGCAAAATAATATGTTCTTAATTTTTCTTATAGGTACCTATTATTCTCAAAACTAAAACAGGTATTATGCTTATATCAGTTTATACACCGCAATGAAAGAATATGTAAGTATAAAAAAATAGCTTTCTACTTTTCTATTTTAATATTACTGTACTAAAATATTTATTGAACTGTCACATATTTCTGCAATAGTGAAATTCTTCTGGACAAACATGAAAACAAAAAATGTTCAGAGTGTTCAGACCTATTCTTTATTGTATTATGGTTTAATTTATTTTGATGCTATGTTTTACACAGTTCAAAATTAAAACTAAAGACCATAATAAATCTACTTTATTATTGTTAAAAACTGTAATGTCTGTAATCTATAATAAAATAACGTTACATTTATTTAGTCCTCTGTACATATTAGGGGTGCAATTTCAATGAAAAAGATGTTTTAGCATTTCTCGTCGCTGAATATATTTATTTTTATGTTAGTTTTATATGATAATAATGGATTACACAATAAACCATTTTCCTTAACCTACCATTCAATGGTAGTTATATATAATAATAATTTTGTAATTTGTATCATAAATATGCATTTATAAATTATGAAGCCTCGATTTTAAAACTGAAGGAGCTTAGCTGCTACGCGTACCCAAGCCTCGTCAAATTGCGTCAATAAAATTTAACTTATCTGAAAACATAAATGGATAACAAGGGATACAATTCTAATAAAATAGATTTTTCACAAGTATTTTTATATTCATAGTATCACAGTATTCTGAGAAATATTAAACATTCAGTTTTAGGGTAAAAATATAGAATATAAATAGGTATATAGTATTCTGTTAATTTATCAAATGATTTTTTTTTATTGTTATATAATTTTGAGTAAGTAGTACAAATAAAATTAAAATCTTTGAATCATTCTATTAAAACACGTGTGAAAATATAGCAAAATTCAGTAGGTATGTAGGTACTATAACTGACGTTTCTGCACACTCAATAGTTGATTAAAATAAAATAGGTATTTAACTTCGAAAAACGTTAATTACAGATAAAAATATCACCAAATAGAATAATAATATATTAATATATAAGGTACATCAATAATTATTATTTTACTATGTATAGTCTTGAAATTGCAATAGGTAACAAAAAAACACGATATGCGCATATCTATAGTACTCGTATATTATTATTAAATCTGATGGTGAATTTTCGCTTCTTACATATTGGAATTTTCCGAGCAGTGCACACGTACCTATATTAAAATGATTATTTACGCATGATTATGATAATATTGTATTAGTATTTATAATATGATTTCCCGTGCTGCTAGAGAGTATAATTATAATTTATACAGTCATCTGTTGGTACATTAAATACACACAAACAATATTGACGGACTGTTGAAATAATTGCGAGACAGTCATTCCGTAGGGATAAAAGTTTGTATAGAGGATATGGAATATGGCAATATGGTAAATGGATATTGGGCGCTTACATGGACTACGCGCAGTATTACAAGATTTGAGATAACAATAATATATTACTGCGCTGTAAAATAATATGTAATGGTGTATAATAACTCTACTGGATTCAATGTGACGAACCACCTCACAATAATATACATCGACCTACATTGTTTGAAATTCTACACTGTTAAAAATATACTGAAACATATTCAACGATGGAAGAAGCTTTTAGGAACAAAAAATTTTCTAAATTGACAAGATTTTTCAGAGCCATTTATTCACATTAATAGTAAATAAATGTATGTCAAGAAATGTACAAAAAAAAAAAAATTATTTTTTAAATTGTATCATGTATAAATAATAATAACATAAACATTTATCATGTTTTATTGGTAAAATTAACCGGGTCGAGTTTACAGTCGACTTTTTTATTAACTGTTATTTCCGAGCAGAGTTTACAACAAAAAAGGTAATCGTGCACCAAGCTTACAAACACCCAATTTGAAAATCTGAGTTTTAATTAGCACTTATTTAAGTAGTTTTAGTTATAATTATTATTTATGTTAAAATTTTCTGTGCATGAAATAATTTTTAAAGGCTAAGTCATTAACTTATATTTTTTATTAAAATTTATAATTTACTCAACTTAATTATGGTATAGAATCTTTTTAAATTTTAAGTGAAGCAGTGTATTGAATAAATAAAAATGTGTTTTTGTGTTTGTTATCATCTTTTAAAGCAGTAGAAATATTTCAATTCATAACTTTGAAGGTGCTTTCTAGTAAAAAATTGAATCAAGCTAATATTTGGGCAGGGAGAAGGTCAAAAATAAAAATTTCTCAGTAGGTTTTTAATTAAGGAGAAACTACGGTAATTTTTACGTAAAACCAATATTCGACAAAATCGATTGTTCTTTTTGTTATAATTCAAAAACAAATAATTGTTTTTAAGTACTTGTAATTTTCATTAAATGTATATGTTTATATTTATATTACATATAGTAACGTTTTCTAAATATTTTATTAATACAAAAATAATAAAAAAAATAATTTATAAATAATTTATTTCATTTGAAATTTGAAAATTGTTTTTATTTTATTTTCCTTTAAAAGACAGTAAATTAAAATTAATATTAAAAAAAAAAAGAATATGTTAAGTACATTTAATATATTTTTTATAAGCATTTGAAATTTTTTAAATTTGTTCAAAATTCGTCAAAATCTCAAGAATTTAAAAAAATTAAATATTTTTTAATTTTTATAGCTATAAAAGATTTAACAAAATGTTTCTCATAACTTATTAGTCATAACTCATAAGAATTAATAAGTTCATATTAAAACTAAGAAATCTTAAAAATATACAATCATAATATTATTTTCATAGATGTTTGAAGTTCAAAATGATTAATAATAATTTTAATTATTTTGTTTAAACTTATAATTCATGTACATTATTTACGAGTACTTTTATGTATATTATAATTCGACTGTATGCAATGATGTTTACAAAATAAGTATATTTTTATCTATTCTTACTTGGAACATATTTACACTGTTTTACAGTATTTATAGTAAGGTGTATTCATTCAAAAGCTAATAATATTGTATACATATAAATATGTATTATTATGATAATTAAATTTTTGGCAAAAATTAAATCAACCTGTCATTATACTAAGAGTAAAATAAATGACTTTAAAATTACTTCAAAAAAATTAAAAAATATTTCTTTATTTAAAAAATATTTATCATGATTTTAGCTATTATGTAACGTTTTGTTAAGTCAAAAATAAAAATAAAATAATATATAGTAATAATAAAATTTAGATACTTAATAAATTTTTGATAAAAATCCATTCAAGGTTTATTGGATTTTTCTTTTTTCGGCCAACTCCATAATCATTTCTTCGAAGGCTTTATGTTGCTCAAAACGTTAAAATCGTCTGAATCCTTCTACGTAAAACTTGAAGTGTTTTTAGCATCTGTTTTATTAATGGTGGTCTTCTATCAGATTCCTCTTTATCACTATCATCAGCCATATATTTTTTTTCGCCGTTTAAACTTAATTTCCCCGCACACAGATGTCGTCCTTGATTATAATTTCAGTATTTAGAGCTTCTTTATCAATGTTGATCTATTTATTATAAAGTACAGATGATGATCGGTGGGTGTCGAACAACAGGAGCTGCAACTTTTTTTGGACTGTCGGAAAAAGTTGCTTATTTCAATTTTGCTGACGAAATTCCATGTTTCGTAGGCTAAATGTAAACCTTCTAGCACACAGTTATTTTTTTGGCGATTCCATGAGCACATAAGGTACAGCATTTTTGGTCCAGGTTAGCATTAATCATACTGATTACATTATTTCTCAAGCTTAATCTGTAATATGTCTTAAAAGTGCATCTAATCTTCTGATCACACGGTTGTATGATTGATGTAATGTTAGAAAGTAAAAATACGAGGTTTATATGTTTGAATTTCACTGTTACCGTATGAAACGTGCAGTCATCGAATAACAATAAAACGTTATAACAAAGTCCAATAGTCCCATTTAATCAGCCATTTTGTAAAAACTTCTTTTGTCATTTATGCATTATATTATTTGTAGTACAGTCTCCTGGTAAATTCTGAACACCTTCAAAACACCAGGGATTTTTATTTTTCCAATGGCAAACAGTTTTATTTTTCACTATTCATACTTGCATAGGTTAGGTTATGCATAGCATAATATGGTTAGACGTTTTTTACTAGTTTTGAATACGTTTGTGTGTACGA